TTTAAGGATTTCCTGTGTTAATATTTTCCTTGAAAATTAAGTGCTATTCTAGTAGGTAAAATCTATTTTACTATTTTCTATTTAACTTCAGTATTTCTGACTTCATGAAATTGAATATCTTAAGAAGAGAAAATATGGGCTGAGTATCAAAAAGTCACACTTGAGCTAATAACTATTTACAAAGAAAATGCATGCCTTTCTAGAATAACCAAAATAGATTTCCAATAGCAAAAATATTTTAAGATATCATTTTAATATTAGTGTCACATAGAATAAAAATGTGATATAATATCAGAAGCTATAAACTTATTACACAAATATTATGCAACAAACAAGAATTAAGGATGCTTTTTGATGCTGCAAAAACATACTAAACATTAAGTGTTGTGGCATTTTGAATTAATATATAGTAAATACACATATACATTCATGATGTCTTCAAAATAAACTGCATATTATGAAAAAGCTATGCATGGATTTAAAAAAAATTGGACCAAAATAAGCTTATCTTTTAGTTCCACTTTTCATGAACTTATTGAAGTACCCTGGTGTATGTAAAAGTTTTATTTGGGACAATACATAAAAATGTATCTAGAAGACAGCCTTGGGTACAAAGACTAATTCTAATTGGTTATCTTTCTTTCCATTTAAATGCTCAGCACACATGCATATTTTTTATTTAAAAAAATAAAAACTCAGAAATGATTCTGGAAGTCACAATGGAACACCAGGATGATATAGGACCCATTTATTCATTCACTCATTCAGAATATAATCACTGTAATTCTTGAGGGCTTAGATATCCAATCTCTCCTAAGTGAAAGGTGTCCCTAGTGTTTCCTAGGACAGAGTTGTCTGGGAATTAACTAATGCACAATAACGATCTATAAATTAGCAGTTTCATCACATGTGCAGCATCTGCCTCCAAACTAATTGTTTGTCTAACAATAGGCTGATGTCTTCATTGTGGATGATTTTGTTCTTAAACAATGTTAGTTTGGCAAGAACACCAGTATGGTAATTTGCTGGATGGTCCTGCTTAAGATCTATAATGGCAAAAGTGGTCCTCTGCAGGCCAAGGGCAGTCACAGGGGGACTGTGGGAAAAGGGCCCCAGATTCTGAAGGCTCAGGGAGGTTCCACAGTAAACCAGACCTGTAAGTTAATGTGCTTCCCTTTGTCGGCTTTCCACTGACATTCATTCATTCATGCAGCAGGTGTATACCAAACGCTCAATATGCAGACCATGTTCCAGGTGATTGAGATGACAAAAACCCATGAAAACTCTGCTCCATAGAGCTTACATTCTAGAGAATACTGGATAAAATAAGGAATTAAAAAATGCCCAATTTAGGGGCCAGCATTGTGGTACAAGTTAAGGCACCAGCATCCCATATGATAGCCAGCTGGAATCTTAAGTGCTCCACTTCTGAGCCTGCTCTCTGTTAATGTGCTTGGGAAAGCAGCAGAAGACTGTGCAAGTGCTAGAGTCCCTGCCCCACGAAGGAGATGCAGAAGGAGATCCAGATGGAGTTCCAGGCTCCTGGCTTTGGCCTGGCCCAGCCCTGGTCAGCCAGGCCAGTGGGGCCATTTGAGGAGTGAATCAGTAGATGGAAGATAACTGTCCATCCACGTCTGTTTCTCTGCCTTTCAAGTAACATCTTTTTTTAAAAAAGTCAATTTAGACTATGTCTCATGGTAAGCATATAGAGAAAACAAAGCAGGAAAGGAGTGCAATTTTAAATATGTGATCAGGGAAGGCCACTCCAAAAAGGTAGCCTCTGAGTCAGGATCCAAAGGAGCTGACAGGGGGGCCGGCACTGTGGCCTAGCAGGTTAAGCTGCCACCTGCAACACTGACATCCCACATGGGCAGCAGTTCCAATCCCAGCTGCTCCACTTCCAATCCAGCTCCCTGTTAATGTGCCTGGGAAAGTGGCTAAAGATGCCCTAAGTTCTTGGTCCCCTACTGGATGAATCTCCTAGCTCTGGATTGACCCAGCACCAGCCTTCTCCCTCTCCCTCTCCATCTAACTCAGCCCTTCAAATAATTAAATCTTTAACAACAAAAAGGTGACAGAGCAAGCCTGATGACATTTGAGAAGAGCATTCCAGATAATGCAAAGGGAAGCCTTTCCAGTTAAGGTGTGCCCAAAGTAGTTGGGGAACAGCCAGGAAGTAAGCAAGCAGGTAGACAAAGTTAAAGATATCTGACTGGAATAGGGTGGCCCATAGGAGGCACCACTTCATATGCCATTGTAAGAACTTTTTCTCCAGATAAAACAAAAATAAATTGAAAGTTTTGAGACAGAGGGCAACGTGACACAAGTTACACTTGTAAAGGATCACTTCTGCTCAGTGGTTCTCAACTGGGTGTTGTTTCCCACTCCCACTCATCATGGAACACTTGTCAATCTCTGGAGACATTTTGGCTTCATCAATTTTGATCATGCCAGGGAAACATATTGCCAGAATCTAGTGAGTAAAGACCAGATATTCTGCAAAGCATCTCACAACTTCCAACAAGAACTACCAGCTGGCACCGCGGCTCACTAGGCTAATCCTCCGCCTGTGGCACCGGCACCCCCGGTTCTAGTCCCGGTTGGAACACTGGATTCTGTCCCAGTTGCTCCTCTTCCAGTCCAGCTCTCTGCTGTGGCCCAGGAAGGCAGTGGAGGATGGCCCAAGTCCTTGGGTGCCTGCACCCACATGGGAGACCAGGAGGAAGCACCTGGCTCCTGGCTTCGGATCGGCACAGCACGCCAGCAGTAGCGGCCATTTGGGGGGTGAACCAACGGAAGGAAGACCTTTCTCTCTCTCTCTCTCACTGTCTAACTCTGCCTGAGAAGAAGGAAGCAGGGGAAACGGGAGGAGGAGGAGGAGGAAGAAGAAGAAGAAGAGGAAGAAGAACTACCTGGCCCAAAATGTCAACAATGCCCAGATTGAGAAAACCTGTGTTTTGAGTAAAACAAAGTCCAAGCAAGGAAGAAAGTGGAGAAACAGGAGGTTATTGGTGTAAATTAGGTGAGTCTTGAACAGTAGAAGTGATGAGAAGTTGGTTGTTCCAAATCTGCCTATCCTCCCATTGACACTACCACACTCTATCCTGCTACATCTAATTCCACACCAAGGCTTCTAAGTTTTATCCTCAGTGTAACATGGCCTTCCACACCATTCTGTTTCCTCAAACACTGTGCCAGATCATGTCTGCTCAACCTAGACCCAGACCATTAGAACACAATTCTTCATTGCATTGCACTTGACCCAGCATCCTTTGCTTCTCATGACAAATTCCCAAGGCAGCAAAGAGCCTCAGGCTTCATTTCTAAACTGTCCCTTCCATGAATTTTCTACTCCAAACATGCTACTTGCCAAGTAGGACTCATTTCATTGCCTTCCCTGGACTGTCCACACCCTCCTTATCGCTAAGGTGGAAGCCACCTGTTAGAAATCACATTTAATCAATGCCCATCTTTCTAAGAAGCCTTAAAAAATGAAGTCTGGATAATTCTATTCCCACTTCTAGAAAGTTGGCTAGATAACTGCTTGACAAGTGAATCCCAAAAATTTTGTTCCTTGATTTATCTGCAGGAGCTAAAATATGTTTATTTGTTCCCTTTCTAGCTCTTCCCTAAGTTTTATATAGGGCTCTGAAGATAGGAAGAAGTGTTTTGATTTACTGACTGATGGAAGAAACACTGTTTTATACTTACCACACAAAGGTCATCAAAAAGTTAGCGTGAAGTGCACATCATAGGGGCCAAGCCTCCACCTGCAACAGCAGCAACCCATAAGGGTGTTGCTTTGAGTTCTGGCTGCGCCACTTCTAATCCAGCTCCCTGCTGATGTGCTTGGGAAAACAAAAGATGTCCCAAGTCCTTCGGTCCCTGCCACCCACATGGAAGACCCAGTAAAAGCTCCTGGCTTCAGATGGGCCCAGCTCCAATCACTGTGGTCATTGGGAGAGTGAACCAGCCTATGGAAGATCTCTTTCCCTCTCTCCTTATGATCTCTACTTTTCAAATAAATTTTTAAAGAAATGTATATTATGAGAAAACTTCATGAATTTAAAATTTTTGCATCACAATAAATTTGCCTTTTAATTCAATTTTTATGAATGTTTTCAAACACTCAAATTTTAGAAGACACATGATTATCCACATAAATGATTTAGGCAAATGTACCTGCATAAGGAGATCTTTCTAGTTTACATGATATGCATGCAATAAAGTATTGCACTGAAACCCATGAACAGGTATCATATTAATAAAACATTTTTAAAGAGTAACGAGAGAATGTTAAAACCTAAAACAGCATTTAGCCTCAGACATGTACATGATCATGTAAATAAACTTGGCCTCATAAGAGATAATCTCTTCCTGTTACCTTGTCATCTACTTACCTCAGTCCCTTACTCCAAAGGCCATACCTCAGTAGTGGCACTATCAACAAATGTCACCATACTGTCATACTGAAGGCTCCTAATTGGTCTCCTGTATTCCCCCTTCCTCCTCTATGGACTATTCACAATAGGGCAGGCAGAAGAATACAAGGGAGTCAGCTCATATCAGTCCTGTAAAGCCATCCAGTATCTCCCATCCCTCTCAGAGGAAAAGTCCTTACTATTACTCTCCAAGGCTTACAGTGAACCACTAATACTGCATTAACCTCATCTCCTACCATCCACCCACTCTGCTTCCACCACCCCTGACCTTCTTTGGTGTTCCCCCAAACATGCCGGCTTGCCCAGCCTCAAGGCCTTGGTTATTGATGCTCTTTCTGCATAAAATGCTTTTCCCAAAAACAACTTAATGGCTCATTGCAGCCTTCTCTGCTCTCTATGTAGTGAGCTAGTGTCTCCCACAATACTCCTTTCCATCTGCCCCTGTCATTTTTCCTGTAGCACTATCAGCATGACATGCAACATGGTATACTGATTAAGTTTTATTATTTACTGACTTTTTCCTTCCAAGAATACAAGCTCCATAGCATATGGACTTACGTTTTCTTTGACTCCAATACCTTCAGCATCCAGAACACTGGCAAATGCTCAGTAGTTGTTGAATGAGTAAGGCCTGCAATTTCAGGACCTTTGCTCAAGCTTGTGGCTTTGCACACATGCTTGTGTGTATTCACATATGTATATATACACATACATATAAAATGAGATTGTAGCTGCATTGATGGAAAACCCTTAAAAATCCTCCCCTGTTCCTCCTGGCTCTTGGTTTTGTGGCGAGTTTTCACATTAAATCAAAGTGTATCAAAGTTGTACCTGCATAAATAACAAATGACCAAATCAAACTCTCTCATTTTCCATCTCTGCTGATACATTTCATTAAACAGATTCTACTCCTGAAACACCCTCCTTTTTCCACTCACATCACCTCTAACTTTGCAAAGCCTGAAGTTTCAAATCTTTGCTACCTGAGAGCCAAATAGCATTCCCATCTACTTGATAAAAAGAAATACCTGGCCTTATTTCTGATAGGATATGGAATTGACTTTTATACATTAGTCATTCAACCTTGAATTGAATTTTGACAGGGTCTGCAGTGTATTAAATTGCTCCCGCAAGGATGAGAAGTGTATATTTCTTATTAAATGTGTAACAGAACTCAATAATGCCTGTCATTTTCCACTGCAGAGATGAGCTTGAATTAAAGCAGAATTAATTCAGCTAACTGAAGCACAGCTCTAAGACCAAGTTTATTTCAGTTAAGATATAAGACAAATAAATCAAATTCCTATGCAAAGCTCAGTAGTGGGTCAAACAATAATCTGATTCAAAATGATATGTCAAAATCAAGAATTTTATTAATCTTTTATAGCTCATAGAAATTCTTAGATGAATGGCATGTTCAAAAAATGAACTGTATTTTTAGAGAAGATATATTGTTGCAGAAGTTAGGCTGTTCTTAAGACAGCTCTGTGCATATCCACAGGCAAAGTGGCAAGTGAGGCCTATGTGGAATGGTCATCTAACATTTTTTGAACACCTGCTAAGTGCCAGGTACTGTTTTAGGCAATTTGTTACGTAATTTGATCCTTTTTTAAAAAAATAAACATGGATTCCATTTTTAAAATAGAGAAAATAGACTCAGAGGTTTAACTGTTCGCAGGTAAACAACAGAATGAATGTTTGAACACAGGATGATGTATAACAATAAACATGACAATGCCCCATTTAATGGAAAATGAGCAACTTGACAGCCAGTTAGGAAGAGCCCTAAACTAGAAAGCAGGAAGTAGTTTACTAAATGACTTTGGATTTCTTTAGTTTCTCCGCTGGGAAAACAATCCTTTACTGTATACTGTGACTTGCTATAAAATCACAGTAGACAGTATCTATGTAATGGATTTGCTTGAATTGGGCTTCCTGCCTTGCTAAGAGCTTGGATCTGATTTCCTCATGGTTTTCTCAGCTCCAAGACAATGATTTCCTAAGATTCATGATGAACACTGTGATGAATCCTTTTCTAAAACAAACAATTGTTGACCTGCATATTTATATGTGCAAGTATATATTTTTGCATAATTAGTTTTCTTAAAACAATATACCGATATGGAATGGGTGATGGCAAAGATGTGAGCTCAATGCTGAAAAACCACAATGCTTCATACAAGCCCATTGCTGTTATAAACATTTATGTTAATAGCCTCATATCTCAAACCACATCTTTAGAAGACTGTCCACTCCACCTACTCACAGGACCTGCCTTAAGTTTTTGTGTTCCCTGTTAGTACCATATAAAGGTAATTCCCTGTCCATAGCTCACTTCTGGATTCATAGTCTTCTTTTCGTCATTGTTATCTAACAGAACAAAATAGACCTGCAGAAGAATGTATGGTAAATGCCTGATAGCAATATAACTAATTTCATTCTAATTTTAAATGGGACTACTAACTACTCAGTGCTGATAAGCATGAAGCAGAATCTTGAGCTTAAAATTGTTTCTGCTACCTGTCCTGATAGATTTAGAAAGTGACTTGTCCCGGGCATCTCATTTATGAGCTTTGACTAGTTCTCTGAATTCCAAATGTCTCTTTCTAAGCTCCTAAGCCAACTGCTTGCCTGATCAACTCTACCCACCCTTTGAATACTAAGTTCTATTTAAACCTTCTAATCCCTCCAATACCGTTTCTATTCTCTATTAATTTCATAACTTGCCTTTCTCTTGATGGATAAAGTCTACTTATTGTTTTTAGCCCCTTATAAATTTCTTTCTCACTGTAATTATAGAGGCTCCCACGTCAGAGCCTTGTCTTCCCCATGTTAGCATTCTATTACTACCTAATCAAAGATCATAACATTTGACTCTATGAGGCACCTTCTTCCACTCTGTTCATCTCATTTTCTCATGATTTCTGCCTCATTTATACTAAGAATTGCTTTATTGAGAATATAAATCAGTCTTTTTCTTCTGAAGTCAAACTGTTGTCTGAAGAGTATTCTGGGCACTCTGCCAGAATGATGTTATTCCTTATGTACAGTGCATATCTAATACAGCCAGCCTTGGTTAATAAAGATTTCTATGAAGTAATAAAGAAGAATATTTATGAGCTGGCTAATTTTTCTAAAGTTATATTAAAGTTTTACTCAAAAAAGTTATTAAGAATATAGGGCTGGCCGGCGCCGAGGCTCACTAGGCTAATCCTCCGCCTTGCGGCGCTGGCACACCTGGTTCTAGTCCCGGTCGGGGTGCCGGATTCTGTCCCAGTTGCCCCTCTTCCAGGCCAGCTCTCTGCTGTGGCCAGGGAGTGCAGTGGAGGATGGCCCAAGTGCTTGGGCCCTGTACCCCATGGGAGACCAGGAGAAGCACCTGGCTCCTGTCATCGGATCAGCGCAGTGCGTCGGCCGCAGCGCACCAGCCATGGCAGCCATTGGAGGGTGAACCAACGGCAAAAGGAAGACCTTTCTGTCTCTCTCACTATTCACTCTGCCTGTCCAAAAAAAAAAAAAAAAAAAAAAAAAAGAATATAGGGCTAAGTGAACATAAATTATACACCTGACCAAAGCAAAATTTTTATTTATGCATACCTTGTATTCTACACATCTCTAATCATCAAGGTGCTTTCACACAAAACTAGCAAAATTTCTAGTCCTACTTAATCATCCAGAATATATTCATAACTTGAACTTGAGAAAGATATCATGGACTATGACCCTACCTGACACATTACGTCATGGAGAGCTCAGCCCCATAAGGATGCTTTCTCCTCCAGGTTTGCTGCCTCACAAGAAGTATAGGTGATCACAAGTTATTTGTCTGTATTTCCAAAGCATTCTAGAAGATAGGAGATGAGAATTGATTAATGTTCCCCATGAAAAGTTCAATAACTGTTTAATCACAGCTTGGAAATAAAGCAATGCTTCTGATCTTTTACAAATTAATTTAACGTTGCATTAAAAATAAAATAGGCCGTAAATTGTGCTGTGCAGGGATAATCAATGGCTCATTATCTTTGCTTCTAGCAAAATGCACTGATTCTTTTAAAGCCATTAACAAGCAATACTGGGCAGTACACAGTTGCAAATGTGTTCAAGTATTATTGATCCTACACCTATAAAACTAATCTCATCAGGGAAAAATTTATGAGCAGTAATAATGCAAACTGTTTCACAGTCCATACTAAAGAAATAAAGAAGAAAATTCATGTGCATAAGGCAAGATTATAAGATCACTGGAGAGGAACAATTTCTGAGCCCTGTGCCAGCACATCATGATACTTAATCATTGTTAAATACAAATCTAATAAAAAGAGATCTTCAATGCTGACTGATGAAATGTTAACAATCCTTCCTTATAAATAAACCACTATGATAACTCTAATTTAGATTGATGTTAGCACTTTCATTACATACTACTAGGCCATTGTGTCCAAATCTATATGGTTACATCTATATTTTATATTTTATTGTATCATTTTCACAAATATTTTGCTACTGAACAGAAGAAAATTGAGTTAATACGTTGTTTTCATTGTCCAACATTGTTGAACATGTGTCATCCATGTATCCAGCTGCCTGTTATGTATCTTCCCCTTGGATGTGCCTTCAGTCCCTCAAACACAACTTTTCCTAAGAGCATGGGCTTCCTCACAGGAAGATGGGGAGCTTGGGTTGTAAACTATCCTGGATTCCAAAGGAGGGAGAAGAGGAGGAGCTCGCCCCCACAGCCTCAATGGTGGACAAATGAAGAATCCTTCAACAGAAAAGAATAGAAATCCAACTATTCCAACATGCATCAGGCCTCAGGCCAGAATGTTTGTTCCACTGTAATTTCTACCCCCGCCCTCAAAAAAAAAGCTAAGTCATTTCAGTTAATACCAATAACTATCTAACAGACAAACCATGATCACTAAAATAGATTCTAACAAAAAGGTCACATTTTGCTGAAAGAGCAGTGCCCTTGTGTGATACTGCAAAAACTTCACTAAGATTGTTGAGCTGAGTTCTAAAAGGCAATGATGTAACATCCTCCCATTACTACGCATTTTCATCCCAAGTAGCAGGAATAAGAAGTAACAACAGGGGCCGGTGATGTGGCATAGCGGGCGAGGCCACCACCTGCAGTGCCAGCATCCCATGTGGGCACGGGTTCAAGTCCCCATTGTTCCACTTCAATTCCGGCTCTCTGCTATGGCCAGGGAAAGCAGAAGATAGCTCAGGTCCTCAGGCCCCTGCACCCATGTAGGAGAACTGGAGGAAGCTCCTGGTTTCGGATTGGCACACCTCCCACCACTGCAGCCAAATGGGGAGTGAACCAGCAGATGGAAGATCTCACTCTCCCTCTCTGCCTCTCCTCCTCTCTGTGGAATTCTTTCAAATAAATAAATCTTTAAAAAATAACACATAAAATACAAATGTATAGAAATGGCCAAGATTTTTACATGTTTTTAAATACCTTCTCTAAAATTTCAAACTGAACTTATTGCATTGTAAGAAGGTTGGAAAAAGATATTCCATGCCATCAGAAACAAAAAAAGAGCAGGTGTAGCCATCTTAATATCAGACAAAATAAACTAACACAAAAACTGTTAAGAGATACAAAGAGGGGCACTATATAATGATTAAGGGATCAATTCAACAGGAAGATGTTACTATTATAAATGTATAATTACACCTAATTACAGGGTACCGGTTTATTTAAAAGATATGTTAAGGGACTTAAAGGGGGACTTAGACTCCAATACAACAGTATTGGGGGACTTCAAGACTCCACTTTCAACAATAGACAGATCAACAGGACAGAAGATCAACAAGGAAACAGCAGATTTAATTGACACTATAGCCCAAATGGATCTAACAGATATATACAGAACTTTTCATCCTACACTTAAAGAATACACATTCTTCTCAGCAGTACATGAAACTTGCTCTAGGATTGACCACATACTAGGCCATAAAGCAAGTCTCAGCAAATTCAAAAGAACTGGAATCATACCATGCAGCTTCTCAGACCACAGTGGAATGAAGCTGTAAATTAGCAACTCAGGAATCCATAGAGCATATGCAAACACATGGAGACTGAACAACATGCTCCTGAATGAACACTGGGTCATAGAAGAAATCAAGAGAAATCAAAAACTTTCTGGTAGTAAGTGAGGATGAGAACACAACATATCAAAACTTATGGGATACAGCAAAAGCAGGGTTAAGAGGAAAGTTTATAGCAATAGGTACCTACATCAAGAAATTGGAAAGACACCAAATAAGTGAGCTTTCAATGCATCTCAAGGAACTAGAAAAAGTGCAGCGAACCACACCCAAAACTAGTAAGAGAAGAGAAATAATTAAAATTCGAGAAGAAATCAACAGAATTGAATAAAAAAAAACATTACAAAAGATCAGCAAAACGAAGAGCTGATTCTTTTGAAAAAAAAAAAAAATTGACACATCATTGGCCCAACTAACTAAAAAAAGACCCAAATCAAAATCAGAGATGAAAAAGGAAATGTAACAACAGACACCACAGAAATAAAGAGAGTCATCAGAAATTACAGACCAATTTGCCGGATGAACATAGATGCAAAAATCCAATAAAATTCTGGCCAATAGAATGCAACAGCACATCAGAAAGATCATCCACCCAGACCAAATGGGATTCATCCTTGGTATACAGGGATGGTTCAACATTCGCAAATCAATCAATGTGACACACCATATTAACAGACTGCAGAAGAAAAACCATATGGTTATCTCAATAGATGCAGAGAAAGCATTCGATAAAATACAACACCCTTTCATGATGAGAACTCTAAGCAAACTGGGTTATAGAAGGAACATACCTTAATACAATCAAAGCAATTTATGAAAAACCCATGGCCAGCATCCTATTGAATGGGGAAAAGTTGGAAGCATTTCCACCAAGATCTGGTACCAGACAGGGATGCCCACTCTCACCACTGCTATTCAATATAGGCCTAGAAGTTTTAGCCAGAGCCATTAGCCAAGAAAAAGAAATTAAAAGAATACAAATTGGGAAGGAAGAACTCAAACTATCCCTCTTTGCAGTGATATGATTCTTTATTTACAGGATCCAATGAACTCTACTAAGAGACTATTGGAACTCATAGAAGAGTTTGGCAAAGTAGCAGGATATAAAATCAATGCACAAAAATCAACAGACTTTGTATACACAGGCAATGCCATAGCTGAGAAAGAATTGCTAAGATCAATCCCATTCACAATAGCCACAAAAACAATCAAATACCTTGGAATAAAATTAACCAAGGATGTTAAAGATCTCTATGATGAGAATTACAAAATCTTAAATAAATAGAAGAGGATACCAAAAAATGGAAAAATCTTCCATGCTCATGGATTGCAAGAATCAACATCATCAAAATGTCCATTCTCCCAAAAGCAATTTACAGATTCAATGCGATACCAAAATACCAAAGAAATTCTTCTCAGATCTGGGAAATATGATGCTGAAATTCATATGGAGACACAGGAGACCTCAAATAGCTAAAACAATCTGGTACAACAAAAAACAAAGCCGTAGCCATCACAATACCAGATTTCAGGACATACTACAGGGCAGTTGTAATCAAAACAGCATGGTACTGGTACAGAAACAGATGGATAGACCAATGGAACAGAATTGAAACACCAGAAATCAATCCAAACATCTACAGCCAACTTATATTTGATCAAGAATCTAAAACCAATTCCTGGAGTAAGGACAGTCTATTCAATAAATAGTCCTGGGACAATTGGATCTCCACATGCAGAAGCATGAAGCAAGACCCCTACCTTTCACCTTACACCAAAATTCACTCAACATGGATTAAAGACTTAAATCTACGACCCGACACCATCAAATTACTAGAGAGCATCGGAGAAACCCTACAAGATATAGGCACAGGCAAAGAATTCTTGGAAAAGACCCTGGAAAAACAGGCAGTCAAAGACAAAATTAACAATTGGGATTGCATCAAATTGAGAAGTTTCTGTACTGCAATAGAAACAGTAAGGAAAGTGAAGAGGCAACCGACAGAATGGGAAAAAATATTTGCAAACTATGCAACAGATAAAGGATTAATAACCAGAATCTACAAAGAGACAAGAAACTCTACAACAACAAAACAAACAACCCACTTAAGAGATGGGCCAAGGACCTCAATAGACATTTTTCAAAAGAGGAAATTCAAATGGCCATCAGACACATGAAAAAATGTTCAGGATCACTAATAATCAGGGAAATGCAAATGAAAACAACAATGAGGTTTCACCTCACCCCGGTTAGAATGGCTCACATACAGAAATCTACCAACAACAAATGCTGGCAAGGATGTGGGGGGAAAGGGACACTAACCCACTGTTGGTGGGAATGCAAACTGGTCAAGCCACTGTGGAAGTCAGTCTGGAGACTCCTCAGAAATCTGAATATAACCCTAACATACAACCCAACAATCCCACTCCTTGGAATTTACCCAAAGGAATTTAAATTGGCAAATAAAAGAGCTATCTGCACCCTAATGTTTATTGCAGCTCAATTCACAATAGCTAAGACCTGGAACCAACCCAAATGCCCATCAACAGTAGACTGGATAAAGAAATTATGGGATATGTACTCTATAGAATACTATACAGCAGTACACAATGAAATCCGGTCTTTTGCAACAAAATGGAGGAATCTGGAACACATCATGCTGAGTGAAATAATCCAGTCCCAGAGGGACAAATATCATATGTTCTCCCTGATCGGTGACAACTAACCGAGCACCAAAAAGGAAACCTGTTGAAGTGAAATGGACACTATGAGAAACAGTGACTTGA